CCATAGCGCATAAAAATCTAAAGCTATATTTTAGATTAGTAACATTAACAAAAACATGTTTTTTGAGGCTGTGATTTTTAACCTTTGAGAGTGAAGATAGAGCATAATAACCAAGTTCTGACATTGTAAACAATTTAATGTCTCTAAAATTAATATATCCAACTTAAAAGTATCTTTGGAATCATATCACATGGTTTAAGATTATCTAAGCACAAGCTTTCAACTACTAACCTGGAGTTATGATATCCTGATTTTGACCTGGACTTTAAAACAACTGTAAAATTACATCTGAATTTATTATATGAAATCCATCAACCAGAAAGCCTGGAGGTGAATCCTGAACACAGGCAGCTGACAGCAGCAGAAACAAACAGCATTCATTTTTGCATCCAAGAACTAGCAAAGACATAAGTAGTTAGACATATTTTAAATTAGCTTGTTAATCTGAATAGACCTTTATAACCTTGAAAGTTCACCATATAAAGAATATTTTGAATCAGGGTTGAATCATATATATAGTATGTTGTAAAAGTATAACTTTGAATTTTTTTTTTTTAGATATTTAATTTATGTATTTTACGTACATGAACGCACTGTCTTCATGAACACCAGAAGAGGGCATCAGTTTCCATTTCAGATGGTTGTGAGCCACCATGTGGTTGCTGGGAATTGAACTTAGAACTTCTGGAAGAGCAGCCAGTGCTCGTAACCCCGGAGCCATCTCTCCAGCCCCTGACTTTGAATTTCTATAAAAATCCACACCATTTTAAAATGAGACTTGTTGCTTTCTTAGTCTAAAAGGAGACAAAAGAACAAACAGAGAGTACATTAGGACTAAGAGTCTTTATAATTGGTGCTTTATTCCACATGGTCATCGTAAGATGGTGGAGTCACATGGCAGGTTGTACGCCATGTGATCAGCATGGCTGCTTACTCCACATACACCCACATACATATGCCCTGAACAAGAGCTGAACTTAGATTTGAATGCCATGCCCAGTAAGCAAACTATAAATTCTCAGATAAAAGTTCACAGTATAATCTTAAAATATTTATTTTTCTTTTGAGAGCAGAGTGCAAAGAAATCAGAAAAGATTTTTAAGAGTTGGGAGGTAGGGCTGGAGAGATGGCTCAGAGGTTAGGACCACTGGCTGCCCTTGTAAAGGTCTTCAGTTCAATTCCCAGCAACCACACTGTGGCTCACAACCATCTATGATGAGATTTGGTGCCCTCTTCTGGCGTGCAGGTGTAAGAACATTGTATACATAGTAAATAAAAAATAACTAAATCTTAAAAAAAAAAAAAAAAGTTGGGAGGTAGAGCTCTCAGAGATGAGAGGCTTTGGGAGTTCTGACCCACTGTAAACAGACAGGAGTGAAACAGGGCTTGACGGTGTTATGGCAGGATCACGGGACCCTCAGAGACCACCAGGAGACGACTTGATGCAAGAGCAAGAGAGCTTTATTAGGAGAATGATCGAACTTGGGACCCAAGTCTCACTGACACAGCAGTAGAGAAGTGGGACCCTGAGCCCTGAGTGAGTAGGATTTTTAAAGGGAAAGACTGTGAGCAGGGGGTTTCCATGACAGCAAGCGGCGGGGGGGGGGGGGGGGTCATGCTTTGACGTTACAGGATTGGGTAAAAGCCATAGGGGCGAGGTGACCTTCTACATAATCACAATTGCCATTCTTCTAAACTACATCTGGAACCATTGGGTAGAATTTTCCCAGCCAGTTCTCATTGATTATTGCCGGGGAAATTGTCTCTATTTTCTATCAAGTATTTATTCTGGGATATTTCCTGGAGGCTGTTGCTAGGAGAGTTAACTTTGTTTTCTGCCAAGTGCACATTCTGTGATATTTCCTGGTACCTGAGTTGAGCTCCTGGTCAAGATGGCTCCTCATTTCAAAATGGAGTCACCCAGGCTAACTTAAACTCTTCAACGACTCCCCCAATCTTAGGCAGTGCAATGAAGCAATTTAGAAGCCAGGTGTAGGGGTGTGAGGTCATCCAAAAGGCAGATTGGGAGCTTGGAGGCCTGACTGGGGACACCGTTCCCATGGGTGAGGAAAGAAATAGGTCACAAGCCTGACTCATGGTGTCCCAAAGGGTACAGGGGGACTAGAAACAAGTTGGTACAAGTTGGCTAAGCCAGTCTTCAGGTGCTTGTCAAGAGGTTCAGACTCCAGAGCAGGCACGGTTTCACTCAGCACACCTAGTGCTAGGTTTTTCGACGTGCATGCCTGTGTGTGGCGTGGCATGGTGTGGCGTGCCTGTGTGTGTAAATCTCACCCCGGGGAAGGGTCTGAGTGAAGGTCAGCAAAAAGGGCCGACCAGTGTTGCATGTAGGAATGTAGCAATTAGTGGACCAGAAAGCAAATCTGTCACAGGTAGACATAGAAGGGGGATCCCCATGTGCCAAGGGAAAAAGCGAGCCCCTCTGAGTTTCGCAGCACCAGGGTTACAGTAATGATTAATATGCCACGCAACAGATCTGGTATAAAGGAGGTTTCCTGTGGGGTGGGAGGGAGAAGAGGGTGCCCATGAGGAAGAGAGAGAGAGAGAGAGAGAGAGACAGAGAGACAGAGAGACAGAGAGACTAGGAGAAGCCCAGGGAGTGTGTGAGAGAAAGAAAAGGAGAGCTAGGGAGGCTAGCGGGGGTGGGGGGTGGGGTGGGGGTGGGGGAGCTCTTACCAGGCACACACATGGTGGTGGCTGCAGGTGATGACATCAGAGGTCTCTAGGCCCCTGAAAGGCAGTGGAGTGGCCTGTATGCTAACAGTCGTTCAGCCCTCTAACTCTTGGGAGTGAATGTATGAAAAGTGAAAATGTCACTGAGTTGCCATCTTTTAAGTTTCTGAGAGCGCGGTGATCCTTGTGACCCAGAGTAATTTGCCAAACTCTCCAGAGTCAGGTGTTCGGTTCCCACAGTTTACAGCCAAAAAACAAGCAAACAAACAAACAAAAACAAAAACCACACACAGATAGTTCCCAAGCAGCCCAGACCAATAAAGAGTTACAAGGAGATGAGTCCCTCAATGGTCACTGAGGGCTGCCCACCTCAAATGTCCCATTTCCCCTTTCTTCCTTCCTTACCAGTCAGTAGACCCTGTGATTCAGAAGAACGTCTTGTAAATATATATCAGCAGCTCTGGCTCAAAGCCTAACAGGTCAAAGGTGTCTAACTCCCCTTGCCTGCCCGTCTGGATGCTTTTGCCAGGTGTTTGAGGACCTGGTTTTAATATGGAGACCGGGTTACTGACGTGCAGTGAGGAAGGGAGGCTGGAGGCAAACATGGACCGGCAACAGCAAACACAGCTGAGCTCGAAGCAGAGAAGTTTTTAAGCTGTTAGTCTGCGAAGAGCTCTAGGCTTTGGGCTGGAGCCCGTGAAGAGTGAACCGAGTTTCTTAAAGAGGGTGTGTGGAATGGGACGTGGTCCTTAGGGATCGGTGAAACTGTCCCCTTCCTGAATTCAGAGCTTTGGTGATTACCAAAGAGGAGATCCACACAAGATTTTGAGGTCTCACCCGCACCTTCTGGAGGAGCTCAACAGGGCTCCCTCTATTCTCTGAGGGTCAGCTGTTGGGACCGGGAAAACACTTTGTTCAGGAATAAGCCACTCATCAATTGCTCCTGCTTCTGTAAGTAGCCCCGGTTGCCGTCTGATCGTCCAGCCGCGTAGTGGGGGTGCCCTCCTTTGATCCCGGTACTTGGAGGCAGAGGCAGGTGGATCTCTGAGTTCCAAGCCCACAGTGGAAGTTCCAGGACAGCCAAGGAGACGGAGAGCCCTGTCTTGAAAACACACACACACACACACACACACACACACACACACACACACACATACAACCAGAGTCACCAAGCTAAACTCTTTGGAGCCCTATTTGGAGTGAATAGCCATTTGGGTTTTTGTTTTACATTTTACAACACGAAGACATTGCGCGTCCGTGCAGGTGCTCACAGGTCCAGAGAGAAGGCTTCAGACCCCTTAGAGCTGGAGTTTCGGGTGATTGTGCTGTAGGCGCTGAGTCTGGTCCTCCGCAAGGGCAGCGTGCGCTCCCAACCTCTGAGCCACCGTTTCAGCCTCCATTTGTTCAAGAAGAGTTCATGCGCCAGTGGGTAAGGGAGAGTCAGAGGTGAGGTCTGAGAATCCAAAGACTGACAATGCTTTTTGAGTGACCCAAGTAGTCAAACTGGGCCTTTGACAACAAAGGTCGCTTCACTCCAGAAGTGCTGTTCCCCAGATGGGAAATCCTAATATTCTAAATTTGGTCCAGAGCTTCGTACTGTGTGGGAAAATGGCTTAGCGAACAGCACATCTTGTCAAACCTTAACAGAGAAACCAGAGTATTTCATCATTGGGAACACTGTAGCCACAATGACCTCAGAAGTGGTTGAAGTCTACCGGTTCTTAAGATCCCCGTCTTTCTGGGGGCAAAAAACATCTGATCCATTTTGGGTTCATCCTCGGTTGGCTTTGAAAACGTTTCCACACGGCTGCGGCTGCTGGTGGCGGTTGGGATTCAGTTTAAGCCTGGGGTTTATGTTTTATTTTTAATTTATTTTGTTTTTCCGAGACAGGGTGTCTCTGTGTAGCCTTGGGTGTCCTGGATTCTCTTGGTAGACCAGGCTGGCCTCGAATTCAGAGATCCACCTGCCTCTGGCTCCCGGAGTGCTGGGATTACAGGAGTAGGGAGGTGTTTTAAAAAGGCTTCCCAGGGGGCCAGGCAGCTCAGTAAAGACTTTGGAAGGACCTCAGGGTGCAGAGGTCCATGGCAGGGAAGGGCCCACGAAGGCAGGTCCTCTTGCCCCAAGCGCCCACAGGGAGGCGTTCGGGCCAGCGCGGACCATCGCAGAGTTCGGTAGCCAATGGGCGGCCCGGCGTGCTGTGCCAGGGCCCGGCCACCAATCCCGACCCCGGTCCCGCCTCCGCCCCGGCGGCGCGCGGGCAGGGGCGGAGCGCCTGGTGCCAGGGGCGGGCGCAGCGCGGGTCCCGGGCTTCGCGTGGCTCGGGTGCGAAGAGCCGGTCGTCCCGCGGCCCCTCTTCCCTCTTGGATCCCCTGTCCTCTTCCCCCTTCCCGCCCAGGCCCACGGTGCGAGGCTGGGAGCCGCCGCCCGGGCCGCGCCGCGCCGCGGTGAGTGACCGACCCCCAGCCCCTGGGCCTGCCGCCCGGACCTGCTCCATCCCAGACCCTCCGAGCCCCGTCCTCGCGGCCGGAGGAGAAGCCTCCGTTGGCAGCCATGGGGTTTTGTCCCCTTTCCCCTCTGCCCCTGCTGTAACCGGGGGAGGCTGAGGAGTCTGTGTAGGGGGATGGGAGCGGCTGGGTTGGGACGCCCTCAGCGGGATGCAGGTTCGCCTGCCTCCTGGGGCTCACCGCCCAAGCGCTGCAACTTTTTGTTCTCTGACCCAGTTCGGAGCCCTGCAGACTGCCTTCCGGTCCGCCCCTATTCCCATGACTCCCTCCCGGCGACCTAAACACGCACATACAACCGGACCTTACTTCTGGGGGAGCAGTGCCATTTGGGAACGAAAGGTTTAAAAGAAACCAGTCCCTGACTCTTGTGCCCGGCCATACTGTGAAAACCAACCAGGAAACGGAAAGCCCTCACAGGTTCCCAGTGTTTCGTCTCTCCCTCCTAAGCTGGAAGAAAACTCAAGCTTGAAACTTGTCTGAAAATCAGTGTGGGCCTAGATCGATGTGTCTTATGAGCCTCTTAGTCATATATTTGAAGTCCATTTATAGTGTTAGGATAGGTAGCGGTAATTGCAAAAGCAAGAAATTAAAAATACATGCATATCCCAAACCTTAGGATTGAGAGTAGATTTCACCAGCCTTTGGTGCATTGTTTATCGTTTCTAGTTTTCACTTTTAGAATCATGAATGCCTGTGTCCACTACTATGATGGGGAGGTGGGTGGCCAGATGAGCCAGTCAGTGTGTCACTCTAGGGGAAAGCTACTCACTTGGATCATGTTATTTCCAGATTGGCTTTCTTCAAAGTGAAGGGAGACTGGGCCCCGGGGAACCGTCTGAGGACACTTCAGCCTTCCACCGTTGCCGGCCCACCTCTGAGCTGGACAGGGTTTTAAGATACACTCCTGGAGTTAGTCTTTCCAAAGCATTTCATTTTCTCGTTTTACAGTTTTACTTTGTTGCTCAGGCTGGTCCCAAATGTGTGATCCTCCTGCCTCTGAGGTGACTTAATGTTTTTAGCAAAATCTGTAGCTTTCGATTTTACCAATAAAAAGACTCAGGAGCCAGATGCTGGGGTGAAAGCCTACTAGCTCAGAGAGGCAGAGAAAGCACCCAGCTGACCTTCCTCCTCAGTCAATGTCCATGCCCACCTCATTTTCACCTCCCCCAAACAACCTCCTTCAAACTGAATGCCCCTCCCTTCTACATCCTGTGCATTTCTCTGTCCTCCTGACTTCCTCTTACTCTGTTGTCTTAATAACCCTATGGACATTTCCTGTCAATTGGTTGCTTGCTACACCTCTTGACCTATTGTTGACTTTATTTAATCCTATTTATAATATTCAAGCAGAAAGCTCTTGGATTAAAAGTTTATGCTAGGGCTCAGCCACACCACAACTAGAAACAGTTTTTTTTCCCAGTAAATAACACAATGGGGGGGGGGGAGCGGTGTTGTCACAGTGATCAAATGTCCTGCAACAACTTAGTTTATATATATATATTTAGTATTATATATATATATATTGTGTTTTTTGTTTGTTTTTCAAGACAGGGTTTCTCTGTGTAGCCCTGGCTTTCCTGGACTCACTTTGTCGATGTGTGTGTGTGCGCACTATGTGCAGTTAAGTCCATGGAACCCAGAGGGCCTTGGAGCCCCTGAAACTGGAGTCATTTATGAGTCACTAATATGGGTTCTGGGAACTGAATCTGTGCTGAGCCGTCTCTCCAGCCCAAAGGTCTGTAACTTTTATCAGATTCTCAAAGAAGTCCATGAACTAAAAAGTTCAGAAGCACCCAAGTTAAACATGACAAAAGTCCTTACAGCCCTTAACACTGTATTACCCAGACATACCGCAGGCAGCATTTCAGAGCGTATCTGAGTAGACTGAGCGAGCCGAGCAGGGTCATATCTAGTCTCCCGCTTTGTCTTTTATTTTAGTACAAGCCTGTGTTCAACCAGAACATTCCAAAGTACTTTTCCCTGCCAGTGAATGGACATCTAAACTGCACGTTTAGCCTGTCTGTCCTTTCCATCTGGGTGGGGTGTCAGAAGTCAAAGGGAAGGAACAGCGTCATGAGTGTTTTTAAATCAGTGACTAAGCAGGATAGCACACCTGGCATGTGTCATGGTGCGGGTGTGGTCATCCGTGATAGATGTGCCACGTCTGCCTGGTGGAGAAACGCGGTCCACAGTGGAGGCACAAGGATACTGACTGTTACCAATACTGGCCTATCCCACTTGCCCTTTTGTTTTTGAGATAGGGCCTCTTTAAGACATTGTGCCTGGCCCCCAACTTGTCATTATGATGAGCCATTGTGGGTGTAGTGTGCTCCAAATCTAAGAAACAGGTTCTTGCAGAGAACTACCGGCTGTAGAGCAAGGTCTTGATTTTAAACCACGCTCTAGGGCTGGAGAGATGGCTCAGAGGTTAAGAGCACTGGCTGCTCTTTCTAGAAGTCCTGAGTTCAATTCCCAGCAACCACATGGTGGTTCATAGCCATCTATAGTGAGATCTGGTGCCCTCTTCTGAACACTCAATAAATCTTTTTTTTTTTTTTTTTTTTTTTAAGTAAAACCACATTCTAGCTGGGTATAGTGGCGCTTGCCTTTAATTCCAGTACTTGGGAGGCAGAGGCAAGAGAATCTCTGAGTTCAAGGCCAGTCTAGTGTATAGGTTGAGTTTCAGGACAGACAGGGCTACACAGAGAAAACCTTGTCTTGAAAAAACAAAACCAACAACAAAACCCAGCATTCTATTTCAGACATTCTGCTATAACTTTTGAGAATCAAGACCAGATGCAGACTGTCCACCTAAGCCACTGTGTTAGCGTGCATTGTACTGAAATAATCTGCTCCGTGCTGTGAGAACTGTAAGCTACATGCTTGTGGCCATGTAACCGCACATACCTCATAGTCTCTGTCAGCTCTCATCTTGACACTGATTAGACTATTTCTTGGTTACAATTTGAGGGAGCTGGTTCTCTCTCTCCACCATGTGGGACCTGGCAATTAAACTCAGGTTGTAGGCTTAGCTGAAAGTGCCTTTCTCCCTTTGAGTTCTGTTTGTGACTATTTTTTTTCTTTCTTTCTTTCTTTCTTTCTTTCTTTCTTTCTTTCTTTCTTT